TCTGAAAAAGCTTGACTCCTGGCAGCATGCGCTCCTAGTTAAACTGGAATCTAGCAGCAGACGAAAGGCTGGCTTTCTTCAGTGTTTCAGTGGTGGAGATCAACAGCTGTTTACATCCTTCATACCTAACTAAGGGTAAAGCGGCCACATCTGTCACTGCTTTCTGGTTCTACTTCCTTGGATCACAGTGGGGAGGTTAGTTTGAACCCTGCTTGGTTCCTGGGCAGGAACACTGACACGTGCCCAGGCTTCTAATTCTCAGCAGATCTCTCCGTTTCTCATCCTCTCAGGATCAACTGTTTGCCTAAAGTTTTTTTTTTTTTTTTTTTTTTTTTTTATCCTGACACACATCTTGGTCATTTCTGAGAAAGACTCATAACAACACAAAGATCAAAAGCGAGGCAGTAGGATGGACTTGGAAGGAGGATGAAGGGGACACGGTGGAGTGCACTGGAGGAAGCACATCTTCTGAAACACAGCACCAATGCCCCGCTAACACCTGAGAACAAACCTCGGTAGACAACACTCATGATGATGGTGGATGCTGGAGCTTTTCACTGACCCCTCACTTGCCATGTTAGAAATGTTAGGGAATGAAGCCAGGCAGGAGAGAGTTTGCTTGGTACCATGAGAACTGGTTTTGATCTATATGTCAAAACAAAACAAAATAACCCAGACTGATGGCACCTGCTTATAATCCCAGTGCTGGAGAAGCAGAGATGGGTGAATACTTGAAGCTCATTGGCCCAACCAGCCTGGTCTAACTGGTGAATTCCAGGTCAAGAGAGATCATGTATTAAATAGGTAGCTAGGACCTGAGGAGGGATGTCTCAGGTTGTTTTACAACACATGTGTGTGCGCACACGCACATAGAACCACACATGCAGACATACACAAAAGAAAGAAAGGAAGTGTCTTAGAGTTTTCTTGCTGTGAAGAGACACCATGACCATGGCAGCTCTTACAAAGGAAAACATTTAACTGGGGTTGGCTTGCAGTTTCAGAGGTTCAGTCTTTTATCATCATGGCAGGGAGCAAGGTGGCATACAGGTAGACATGATGCTGGCTACACCTTGATCAGGAAGGCAACAGGAAGTAGACTGTGACGTTGGGGGGGGTACCTTGAGCATAGGAAACCTCAAAGCCCGCCTCCACAGTGACATGTTTCCTTCAACAAAGCCACACCTCATCATAGTGTCACTCCCTATGAACTTATGGGACCAATTACATTCAAACTACCATAGAAAACCTCATGGAAACAAGCGCTAGGTTAACCAGAGGGGTGGTGTGGTGGTTTGAATAGGTATGGCTGGTTTGCTCAGCTGTTTTTGTTTTCTTCTTTAAAGATTCATTTATTTTATTTTATGTGTATGGGTATTTTGCCTGGATGCATCTGCAGATTATATAATTTATGCACCACATGCATTGCCTAGTGCCATAAATCCCCTGGAACCGGAGTTACAGACAGTTTGAACTGCCTTGTGGGTACTGGGAACTGAACCTAGGTCCTCTGGAAGATTAGCCAGTGTTCTTAACTCCTGAGCCATCTTCCCAGTACCTCAGCTGCTTTCTTCTAGAACCCAGGAGCACCAGCCCAGGGGTGGCCCCACCCACATGAGCTGGGCCTGCCCACATCAATAACTAATTAAGAAAATGCCCTAAAGGCTTGTCTACAGCTGATCTGATGGAGGAAGTCTCTTCACTGAAATACCCTCCTCTCAGATGACTCAAGTTTGTGTCAAGTTGACATAAAACTACCCAGTAGAGTGACATTTCTCAGCAGAAGACATGTAAGTAAACGACAGGCATGTGAAAACGTAAGACATATGTATTTATGTATTCAATCATCAAATATACAAATGGATGTCTGAATAAAGACAATGTGGCATATATACATAATGGAATATTTTTCAGTCTTTCAAAGGAAGGAAATCGGGGCTGGAGAGATAGTATAGTGGTTAAGAGCACTTACTGCTCTTGCAGAGGACTTGGGTTCTATTACCCAGAACCCACATAGCAGCTTACAACCGCCCATAACTCCAGCTCCTGGGAGTCTGGCATTCTCTTAACATACACACAAATAAAAATAAGGACGTCTTAAAAGGCAATCTTAGCCAGGTATGGTAACACACATTTATGATCCTACCACTTGGAAGGCTGAAGCAGTCCAGGCCAACTAAGGCTATAGAGTGAGTTCCAGGCCAACAGGCCTACACATAGAAACTTGTGCCAACTCTCTCTCTGTCTCTCTCTTTCATCATTTACAATAATATGTATGAAATTTATGAATCATGGACGAACTTAGTGGGGCACACAAAGGCAAATATCATACTATCTTGCTGCCCTATCAAAAGGCCAAGGCAGTTTCTTTGTTCAACCAATGAAAGCAACACATCACTATCTCACATGTAGAATCTAAAAATGCCTAGTTCGTAAGAATAGAGTAGAAAGGAAGTTAACAGGGTCTAGCAAGAGATTTTGTTCAAACGATACAAAATTTCAGCCAAAAAAGGAAAAAGAACAATTGTATAGTATAGCAACTATACTTTTTGTTGTCTGATACTAAATTACAGGTTTTTAAGTCTCATTTGAGAAAATTATTATTATTATTATTGTTATTATTGTAGTTGTTGTTATTATTATTGGCAGGGCTAAAGGTTTAAACCCAGGACCTTGGCTATGCTGGGCAAGTATCCCCTAATATCAGGGAAACTGTGTTTTGAATATTTGAATAGAAGGCCCAGATAATGCTGACAACTCTAATCTATATAAGTTAATATTTCCTTAAAATTAAAAATGCCAGCTGTAAGTAGTGGAACAAGCGTCTAATCCCAGCACTCAGGAGGGAAGCAGGTAGATCCCTGTGAGTTGGAGACCAGCCTTGCCTACAAGTGCCAAACAGCCATAGCCACATAGAGAGACCCTGTCTAAACAATAAACAAATGACACCTCCGAATGAATTCCATTTTAAGAGGAAGAATAAAGCGCCACGTCAAGCATGGAAACACACACACCGAAAACTCTTTTATCGGGGCCAGCAGATAAGGGTGCTTTCCCACAAGCCTGGTAACCTGGTTCTCTCCTGGGATGCACTAGGCCGAAGGAGAGAACAGTTCTTGCAAGTTGTATTCTGACCTCCACACACACACACCTGGCATTTGCCTTTACACACACGCAGACAGACAAAGTGTTTAAAATAACACATTTTAAAGTACTCTTCTTGGAAATTCCTAAAATGCACATTGACATACTAAGAATCCTCAGCTTCCTCCGAATTTCCTGAACTTGTTTTTTTCTCAGAAGGAATCCTGCTAAGATTCCTCAGAACATCGATGCTGTGGAGCAAAGAGACAGAGAATTCAGTCTGTGTGCAAAATGATGAAGGAAACACCTAGAAAAGAAAGCGCTATTATTTCCTATGGGGAACACGGAGACATCTAGTTCTCCCGAGAACACAGTCTAAAATCACCTGTGATGCTCTCCGTTCCCCAAACAGATATCCAGAAGCTACCCTCCCTCTCAAACAATCCAAGGCTGCTGTACTGAGATATCCGCTCTGCAGCTCAAAGTGGCCATGATGGCAGTGCCCAGAGTTCAGAGTACCCTGAAGCCAACATCAGAAGGATGATACCGAATTATTCTTGCTATATTAGATACTCTGCACATGACATTAACAGTTCCTCCTAGCACAAGCAGCCTCTCAGAGTAAAATTAAAGTGCATGAAGATAAGAATGAAGGATTTCCCACCCTTCAGAGATGTGGAATACCTACCCAGGGGAGGGGGAGGGTTCTGGGAAACTCCTAGGCAATACTGAACACCTCGCCACCTTTCTGGCAACAAGGGACAGGAGAGGAAAGCATGAAGGGACTAGACAAGTTAAGGCGAAGCCAGGACCCTGACAAACTGGTTTATGTGCTGAATACTTCAAGATGCATCATACAAAAAAAAAAAAAAAAAAAAAGACGCACCATACTGCACCAATCAATTTATGTTCTTTTTTTTCCCCAGTATAAACCTAATTATTTCCATACATCCCTTCTCAACTTGGGGATACCTCTCCATCTGCAAAGATTTCAACAGACTTCATCATGTGTTTTCATGTGCATACATCACGTACTACACACATGTTTTTTTGGTCCTCTCCCGATAGGACAAGAGTCATTCATCTTGGAAATGTTCGCGAATGCCCATGCAGGCTCCTGGCTCTGTGCTAAGAACTGGAGACATGGCAAAAGAAACAGGAGTTCTCATTCCTACTGAGCCTTGGATGTGAAGCAATGAATTCCATACCCAGCCTGTCCATACACAGGAATCCAATAGCTAGCAACAAAAAGAGGAAGGAAAGGCTGAATCCAAACCCTTATGTCGTATGGTTGATAGCACAAAACAAGCCGAAATGTCTGCATTTCAAATGTTCCAGTCTGCCTGGCAGTTAAGAGAGTTAACAAGTATAGCCCGGAAATGCAGTAACCGTGATTAGAAGAGAGGCAAATGCCAGGATCTTTATTTCCCCAGGATATAAACCCCTGTGGGCTTGTTGCCCAACTAATTTGTAGATTCCCATAATGTGATTTTTAGTCTTGAAAAGTTAATACTAACAGTAGTCACATCTCAATCAATGCAACCTTGCATGTCAATTAGCCAAAAAAAAAAAAAAAAAAATCTTACCAGGCTGAGTAGAATTGGAGTCTAGCCCTAAGAAAGCCAAGAAGATCCTATCTAACATTTTCCTAACACTCCCAAGCATGTAGAATGTATACCACTGGACGCCACAAAAATCACAAATAGACAGACCGTGAATGAGCTCCACCCATAGTAATCAGACTCATGCGTATCAGATATATAGCTGATGGAATTTAGGGAAACATTGACGTGGGTGTGATCTAGTTAGTATTTATTCAAAGACAGTGTAAGACTCATACTGTGAAAATTTTATCACCTCTGGACGGAATGGGACAAAATACCAAAACACACACGTTAAAATTTCAAGGCACTCACCAACACATGTCGGAAATATGTCCTCATTGTTGATCTGGACTTCAATCCAATCCATAAGCAGGTTCATGTACTGAGGAGCTGGTAGTGCAGTTGGCTTCTTATACTTGAGGTCATCCTGCCACCGATACTCGTACTTGGGACCCCCTGACATCACGGGGCAGGTCCGCTCAGTGCAGAACTCACAGATGGTGCCGTAGATGAGGTTGATGCGATTGAAGAAGTCCACCACGTGCACCGCCACCCAGTCATTCTGGTCCTCCCCGCTGGGTAACTGCACAGCTGCTCTCAGGTCCACGCCCGAGTTGAGGGATGCCTGAGCTCGCTTATGCAGCTCGAACCTCTGCGTGCCAGGTTCAAATTTCCTCTTGGGCCGGAAGGTCTTGTCCTTGTTGAATACTTGCTTCAAGGCTATGGACATGGTCTCCTCCTTGTCTTCCTTCCTTTTGCAGGAAGCAAAAAGGCACGCGGGACTTTTCAGTGAGAGATCACAGCCCAACAGAGTTTTCCACTGCCAGCCCTCAGGCCCCAGTCTTGCAGCCTGCAGTTTAACTCGATTTTAAATGGCTCCTTCCATCTTCCTCTTGAATGATCTCCAAGGGAACCTCATGTTCCTTCCTAAAGGCGGAAAAGAAAAGGGAACTTATGAGCGCTCAGTTTGCATGTAAGAACTAACAAAGGCTTAGGGAAATTTCCACCTTGCATTCTGGCTGTGCTTAGTTCCTATGGGTCTTGTATATGAATGTGGAGGTTAAACTATTGCCCTGAGGGGTGCACTGGTACTGCGAGCTATGCAAACAACTAAAGAAGAAAGGGTGCTACCCTTTTGTTCTGTGTGGTCCCTTGTCAAATCCTTGCTGGCACTTCTCTGTTTGATCCAAAGCTAAGGGCTTTTCCAAGAGTGTGTTGGGCAATGATTCAGTCCTATTGCATGTCTACTTCTTTTTGGAGACTAATGAGTAAGCATAGATTGTCTCTGACTTCACAAAGAGAGATGGTGGGTCCAGGTGGCTATCATACCAGGAGCCTAAAAGGAGCCAGGGGTCTGCATCTGCTAGACCTGCAAGGAGTGATCAAAACGGTCAACTTAAGCCCTGGTGGGTCATGTATAATGCAGTTGAGGAAGCTGAACTGCAGAGCTGAGAGACAGGGAGAATGAAAGGAACGAGGGCAAAGAGGAGAAGAGAAAGGAGAGGGGAAGGAGGGGTAGGGGAGGGAAATGGGAGGAGGTGGAAATTTTTAGTAAATAAATAAATTTAAGAAAAAGGATAGGAGAGGGAAGGGGAAAAAGAGAGGAGGAAGAGGAGGGAAGAAGGAAGGAGGGAGACAGAAAGGAGGGAAGGAGGAGGAAGACAGGGGAAGGAGGGAGAAGGAGCAGAGGAGGAGGAAGAAAGGAAGGAAAGGGAGAGGAGGAGGAAGAGGAGGAGGGAAGGAAGTAGCGGCAACAGTGGCTATTGAAACAGAAACAAACAGAACACACGTCCAAGTTGCTATGGGGAGAACACAGGAAGAAAGAGGCTCCATTAGCTCCAGGCAATCTAGGAAATAGTCCCATTTCTTACCTTTGAAATACATTTGTTCTCCCAGGATTGGTTGAATAAATCGATTTTAAATTCTGCTGACTTTAAGTTAGTGGTTCCTTTGCAAGGAGCCCTGACTATGACAGCCGCTGTGTTCCTAATACCACTCCCAGGAGCCCTTTGGAACGGAGCTGTCCAGCAGAACTTGCTCTGGCAAGGTACATGTTAGATGCACTTGGGATACAATGTGGCACCCACCATCCACATGTAGTCTTGAGTACTTGGATGTAAACAGTGTGACTAAGGAACAGAACTTTGTAATCTATCTTACTTTAATTAACTTGAATTTATTTGGCCATGCATGTCTAGTGGGTGAAAACTTGAAAGCCTAATGTTGTCCATTATTTCATTTGACTCTCAAAACTCTAGCAAGATCTAGAGAGTCATGGAAGATGCGCAGACTCACAGCAAGTATTCTTCACGGATCCCTAGGTGACAGAATTACCGGCTAGACAATATCCTGTGGCTAGCAGGAGGCACAGCTGGCACCAAATTTGGTTTGTTGGCCCCTTGTAAAGACACTTTCCACAAGGCCCCATACCCTGTGCTGTGATGTATTTTATCCTGCCTTTCCTTTTGGTTTATGAAGCTCCCTATCCAGAGCTCAGTCCCCATTCCATTTTATACACACATTCCCCAGAAACTGCCAATAAAGGGTGGGTTGAGGTGAAGGCTGCCGTGTGGCCTTGACACAAAAGATTATAATAGGTCCACTTGAGCCAAACCACAGCAAAGTGACCTCAGAGCTGAGGCCAGCATTAGAAGAGCTGGCACAGAATCTGTCGCAGAGGACTGGAGGATGAACTTTCTGAGCTGCTTCTTCACACCCAGAGGGGCTTCTGCCACTTCCCACGTCTGAACATGACTTGTTAAGCCATCAACACAGGAATGAGCTCCTGAGATATCTTTTCGAATTTTTAAATTAGCATGCACAGTATTAGGTCCCATCATGGCATTTTTCAAACAAAATTAGTTTCTGTTAACTCTCCCTGAGAGCTCAGATTCCCTCCCACAAAGTTTGCTCTCTGCTCAGCATAGCCATGGTCCTGCTGCCAGGTGCCTCTTCCTGTGTCACCCACAGCCCAGGACACACATCCCCTGTCTTCTCCCATCCTTTTCCTAATAGCTTTGCCCTGAAATGTCACATCTGGGAAATAGAAGTCTTTTCTCCTTTCTCATGGCAGTAAGCATATGCCCCCTGCTCCCATCAGGAAAAAGAAAATCCATGTGGAAAATATCACATGATACCCAGCCTGAGCTCTTCTATGAAGTCATACTCCAGGATACTCTGGTCTGATCTATCAACTGCATGGCTATCAACACAAAAGTCTTCAAACTCTAGAGTGTGGACAGGTGCAATCTCTTTTTAAATGAAAACCTTCTGATGGGGAAGAACTTAGGTGGGAGAGGGGAGACGAAGCTGAATTCTGGGAGGAAGAAAGCAGAGTCGGGGAGACGCCATGGGTCCGCTGCCAGAATAAGACATGCTAGCGAAACTTAGCCGGTGAGCCACTGCCATGTGGCGATACATGGATTACTAGAAATGGGTTAAATTAATGTAAGAGTTAGCCAATAAGAAATTAGAGCTAATGGGCCAAGCAGTGGTTTAATGCATACAGTTTTTGTGTGGTTATTTTGGGGCTAAGCTAGCTGGGCAGCCGGGGCGAACAAGCGAGCTCTCCTCTAGCACTTTGCCCCTGCATGCACATGAAGCTTTCTCATTGCAGCTTTTTAAAATCCCACGGACATTTTCAGGTGCACGTGGAGCGCCTCACATCAAGGACCAGAGGACGTGCAGAGCGTGTGGAGAGCTGGCCTCCTGGCACGGAAGCCAAACCATCACACATGCTGATGTGGGCAGACGTGGGAATGCCTCTGCTGGTTTGATTTTTTCATTTACAATGGAGTTGTTCTGAGGAGTTGGCCAGGTGAGTTTCCCACATGTAAAGACAAGGCAGGCCAATCAGGACGGATGAGAAAACATCCATCACACCTCTGACCGCTAACAGAGCGCATCTTCCACATCCTTTTCAAGGTCCCAGAGCTTTGTTGGTGTACAGACCCAAGAGTTTTAAAGTACAAAGGATGGATGCACCCAGCCTTCCTTTCCAAGCCTTATCCATGTGGAGACCCTGCCCACAGTGTATTCTTCCATCCCATTCAGTGGTTGCAGCTAGCCAGGCTTCTGGTATCAGATATTTGTGAAACTGTCTTGAGGATCAAAAGTTCAAGGCTAGCCTGACTAACTTAGCAAGGGCCTGTCTCAAAAGTTTTTATAAAACAAATGAAAGGTTAGAGATGTAACTCAGTGCCAGGGTACTTTCCCAACAAGTACAAAGTCCTGGGTTCAAGCCCCAGCACTGTTATAAAAACCAGACATAGTATTTATTACACACTAACATGGAGACCTGAGGTTATGTTTAAAGACAGGTGGAAGCTTCAAGGTTTGTACTTCAGACAAGCCCCAAATGACATCAGATCTGCTGATCTATACACAGAGGCGACACTGAGCTTCACAGACGGGGGGTATGTTAAAAAAGGAGGCTCTCTGGCTTCCCCTGTAGATCTAAATCTGCACATTAACATCTCAGAAAACAAATGCTTGAAGCCCTAGGTAGGACATGGCGGGCTGGAACACTAAAGGGATGAAGACATAAGCTAGTTCTTGTGATTTTGCCAACAGTTTGTTCATACACAGAGTCTGCGCTTGAGTGTGCATGGATTGAGGAAGAGTGAGAAGACCCGAATGTTTTCAACTCGGTGGCTTTGCCTGTGGGGGATGGGGGTGCAGGGGGTGGGGGGCATTCTGATCTGGGTGAGTCTGGACAGCAGACCACCGAGCAACTTCAGGCCTCTGGGGAAACCGTTGTGTGATATCACACAGAGAGTGGCTACTGCCACTGCAGCCGTATGCCAGAAGTTTCTTAGGCTAATAATGACATAGTGGTTATTCGCTGTCTTTGTCCAATGTCCAGAAAAAGAAAGAAAGAAAAAAAAGAAGTCATAAGTTTTGAGCCCTGGAAAGTAACACTAAGAAAATTCAGTTATGAATAGCATCCATTGTAATGCTAGTTTTCAATAAATATTTGAAGCCAACTGCTCATTAACTGGAAAACATTGACTAAGGCCCATTTATTCAGAAGACACAGGACTAGGGAGCAAGGGTACAGAATTAATTAAAACTTGGCCTCCAACTCTGAAGACCTCACAATTCAGTGTTCAATTTGGGGTCAGTCTAAACTTTTGCTTTTCGTACCCCAAAGTCTAACACGCAAATGTGTTCATGGATGCTGTCCCTTCAGTGTGTCACTTAGGAACGAAGAGGGCAAAAGGTCTCTGGAAATAGAAAAACAGAAATCCAAACAAAAAGCATAAAACTGACAGCCACTCCATGTGTTCTCCATATTTTCTGCTTAATAAATCAACTTTAGCACTAAAACAAATGCCCAATAAAAATATGCAGAGAGAACTCTGCTGAGCTGTGGGGGGATGTTGACAAGGTAGCTAAGCAACGCTGGCAAGGAAATGGGGAAGGAAGTTCTTATTTTTCTTTTCCTATTGATGTCTTCTGCCACATTAGTTGAAAAATCAGAGTCCTTGCCAGGGATCAAGGAAGAAATAAAACAACTCTCCCACTGACTCCTGGGAAATGCACCTTCTCTGGCAGCGACCTCCTCTAAGGGGCCATCCCAGTGAAGCAGAGGGGTGAGGGTGACCGAAAAGAACAAAGCTGATTGATACTATCAGTCAGAAGTAGATGGTGGGGAAGAAGTCCACGATGTCATCTCTGAGCTGGAGGGTGACTCTGGGCATGACAACTGACTACAGACAAGCCACAAGAAAAATGCCAAGCACCCCACACAGAGGAGGTACAATCTGGCTCTTGCCTTGTTGGGTTCTAAGAAGCTGGGACGGTGATGGGCAGACTTCACAGATTTGTTGAGCACAGGAATAAACAACAGTGAGTAAAAAAAAACATCTTGTACTAAACCAGAACCACAGAAGTTAAACCAAATTGCAGCTCCTGATTGGAGTATT